CTCTTTATAACAGTGCACTCGACTGGGTGGTGGGCTCTTTATAAAAAGGTGCACTGGGCTGGGAAGGGGGCTCTTTATAAAGTTGCACTCAAGAGCCCCCTCACCCAGTCAATGGTACACTTGATTGGGTGAGGGGGCTCTTTTATAACGGTGGACTCGGCTGGATGGGGAGGCTTTTTAGAATGATGTACTCGGCTGGGTGTGGGCCGCTTTTAGAATGATGCACTCGACTGGGAGGGGGGTCTTTTTAGAATGGTGCACTCGGCTGGGTGAGGGGCTCTCTTACAGTGCCGTGCCTTATAAAGAGCACTTGGTGTCCCGTGATTTGCTTTAGCTCCTTGTGCAATCCCAGCATGTGACCGACATGTGACTCACCAATAAATTAAATTATAGAAGTTTATCAGAACCGGCTGGGCCCGGGATGAATTTCTGGTCATGGGGGGAAACATTTTGCAGCACACAGCTGACTTCCTGTCATTAAAGGACAAGGAGGGCAATGTGCGGTGAAGCCTCCTGCAGCCTAATATGGCCGAGAACAGAGAACAATGACCCCCCACCTAAAACGTTATGTGGCTTGGTAACTCTGACATGACTCGTATTAGGGAGTATGTGGGACCACTCAGGAGCGGGCGGGGCTCGGCCGCTCACCTTCATCAGACGTGGGAGCTCTTTAGCCACCAGTTTGTCGAACTCGCCCTGCGTCAGGGTCTCTTTCTTGCCCTCCTCTCCGGCGTGTTCAAAGAAAGCGGTCACGATGGTGACGATGGCGCGTTCCACCTCTGTCTGTACGGCTGCCATGTTAGAACTGCAGGGAGAGGTAGCAGAAGGGGCAGGTTCAGACAGAGAGGAGACACAGTGCAGGAAGTCAGGGGATAAGCATCTTTATTTTCAGTCACGTGACTGCCATTTTCAAACCTCATTGGACCAGCAGAGGCATGGGGCGCAGAGTAACAGTGTGCAGAGACTATGTGCACAGAGTAACAGTAAGCAGAGAATTGGTGCACAGAGTAACAGTCAGAACAGACATAATACTGATTGGAACAGTGAGAAGACCCATACTACTCAAGAGTAACACTGAGCAGAGATAAAGTACACAGGGAAACAGTAAGGACAGATATAGGACATTAGGCAATAGTGAGAAGAGACATAGTACGCAGGGTACCAGTGAGAAGAGACATAGTACGCAGGGTACCAGTGAGAAGAGACATAGTACGCAGGGTACCAGTGAGAAGAGACACAGTACGCCGGGTACCAGTGAGAAGAGACATAGTACGCAGGGTACCAGTGAGAAGAGACATAGTACGCAGGGTACCAGTGAGAAGAGACATAGTACACAGGGTAACAGTGAGAAGAGACATAGTACACAGGGTACCAGTGAGCAGAGACACAGTAAACAGGGTAACAGTGAGAAGAGACATAGTACACAGGGTACCAGTGAGAAGAGACATAGTACACAGGGTAACAGTGAGCAGAGACATAGTACACAGGGTACCAGTGAGAAGAGACATAGTACCCAGGGTACCAGTGAGCAGAGACACAGTAAACAGGGTAACAGTGAGAAGAGACATAGTACACAGGGTAACAGTGAGAAGAGACATAGTACACAGTGTAACAGTGAGCAGAGACATAGTACACAGGGTACCAGTGAGAAGAGACATAGTACGCAGGGTACCAGTGAGAAGAGACATAGTATGCAGGGTACTAGTGAGAAGAGACATAGTACACAGTGTAACAGCAAGCAGAGACATAGTACGCAGGGTAACAGTGAGAAGAGACATAGTACACAGGGTAACAGTGAGAAGAGACATAGTACACAGGGTAACAGTGAGAAGAGACATAGTATGCAGGGTACCAGTGAGAAGAGACACAGTACGCAGGGTACCAGTGAGAAGAGACATAGTACGCAGGGTAACAGTGAGAAGAGACATAGTACCCAGGATACCAGTGAGCAGAGACATAGTACACAGGGTACCAGTGAGAAGAGACACAGTACACAGGGTACCAGTGAGCAGAGACATAGTACACAGGGTAACAGTGAGAAGAGACATAGTATGCAGGGTACCAGTGAGAAGAGACACAGTACGCAGGGTAACAGTGAGAAGAGACACAGTACGCAGGGTACCAGTGAGAAGAGACATAGTACACAGGGTACCAGTGAGAAGAGACACAGTACACAGGGTACCAGTGAGCAGAGACATAGTACACAGGGTAACAGTGAGAAGAGACATAGTACACAGGGTACCAGTGAGCAGAGACATAGTACACAGGATAACAGTGAGAAGAGACACAGTACGCAGGGTACCAGTGAGCAGAGACATAGTACACAGGATAACAGTGAGAAGAGACATAGTACACAGGGTAACATTGAGTGGATAGAGTATACAGGGTAACAGTGTGCAGAGCCATTGTACAGTGAGACACTAAATTCAGAGTAGCTAGAAGAATGAAAATAGTGAGCAGAGTAAGCTCAGAGTAAGATTTACAGAGCACCAGTAAGAAGAGTCATAATGCTGTAATGGAAATGAACGGAAGGGAAAACCGGAGCAGAGGAATAGTTGGTAACAGTAACCAAAATAACAGTAACAAGAGCAATAGCAGCGGTAAAAGGGAGTATGACAGTGAAGGTTATTCCAGAGTAATACTACAAAGAGGAATGGGGAGCAGAGTAATACTACAAAGAGGAATGGGGAGCAGAGTAATACTACAAAGAGGAATGGGGAGCAGAGTAATACTACAAAGAGGAATGGGGAGCAGAGTAATACTACAAAGAGGAATGGGGAGCAGAGTAATACTACAAAGAGGAATGGGGAGCAGAGTAATACTACAAAGAGGAATGGGGAGCAGAGTAATACTACAAAGAGGAATGGGGGGCAGAGTAATACTACAAAGAGGAATGGGG